TACTCGGCCCATTTTCTTATGACATCCAGCACCACCTTCCCAGGGACGGTATGATCCACCTTCCCAGAGAGCTGGGCCTCCCACTAAATAATTAGGTAAGGAAACGCCCCACAGGCAAGTGTACATGCCAACATTATGGAGGCACTTTCTCTATAAGATTCCCTCTGCCTAAACACATCTAGATTGGTGTCAAGTTGACAAAACCAAGCAGCACTACCCCTTAACTTTTAAAACTGGAATTGGACACTATAGCATGGTGTGGATGTCATGATGCAACATTCACTCTTTAATAACAGTGGTTTCAACTTGTTTTTATCAGGCTCATATTGTTGTTTGTGGTTATCTAGAAAATCTCCCCATAAAGTTCTACAGTCTCACTAGGAAACCTGTTTAAAGATGGCACACTTTAAACAACCGTGGAGCCAAAGGAAGGCGGGAGTGCGGGGCGGTGCTGTCTCCTGGACCGGACATGGCTACCACACTCAGGAACTCACGCCAGCTGTATGCTACCTGCACAAGACCAAGCCAGCCAGAATTCCGACCTTCCGGTGTAGATGGGAAAGGGGCTTGGCAGTCCTGTCTCTTCCTGGAGAGCTAATGGCAGTTGACAGCTGCTGGAGGAGGAAAAATCATTCTTTGTTTTTTTTTAAGGGGTGTGTCCCACAAATAAGTGGGTAGCCGACATGTGTGTTTCAAAGTCCAAAATGATAAAGCATTAAAGTCTGTCTGATTCTCTGAAGTAAAATACGTACATGGCTGTCGGGAGGGCAGGCTCATCCCGAGTAGGAATCTCTGCTGCATCTTCTCTCCGGCGGCATGTGCTGGTTTACACCATTGATAGAGGAGTTAAACAGTTCATATTACAAGAAAGTAATAAATATAAACCCAAGTGCCAATTATGCATGAGCATTCACTAGGCCATGGGTGAAACACGGTCTTTCATAACTTGAGCGACCATCTGTTTCCTGACCCTGAAATGAAAAGTCACTTGAAAAACTTAGAATTCTCATAAAAGTACATCCTTAACCAGTTTTGAGACTTAAGTTGCCTCACCTTCCAACTTTTGCCAGGCAGAGACCTTCTGGTTTGTTTTTAATCATAGCTATTCAAGTAAATTTCTCCCCAAACAGGAATAACAGCAGCAGGAAAACTGAGCTGATTGTGGGTTCAATGGCAATCTCCTTTCACAAACGTTCAATTTCGGTAAATAAAGGTGGTTAACAGTGACAGTAAAACCAGCCTTAGGCTGGAAACCCTCCCTAAGCATAGGAGAAGGTGGTGGCCATAGGTTATTTTGTTTGTTTGATTTTTAGGATTTTATCTAGTCAGGATTGGCCTTGAATTCCTGATCCATCTGCCTCCCCAAATCTGGGATTACAGGCATGGCCCAACTGTGCCTGCCTTACGGGGTTACCCACAGAGACAATGCAGGTGACTGGAAGGGTGATATTCCCTTTCTTTATACAAATTATCAGTCTGCAAAATGGGAATTTGCTATACAAAACTAGGAACTAATGTCTCTTGGTGACTTTTCCCTTTAAATTATGGTATCTCCAAGATGTGGGATTTTTTTCCCCTCCTGAATGTAACGTTGTGTCAGATGAAAAGTCTCAAGATAGGCCCAGCCTCTTGCTGGAATCCTGCCTCTCCTGAGTTTCAGGCAGGAGGATCTTGACTAAGAGTCTTTCTCAAAAAACAGCAAAGAAGCAAACAAAAGAAAAGGGAGGGAATGAATGAGGCAAAACAGTCCAGGAAAGAAATGAAGTTTCCAAACCGGATGCCACTGAAGCCCCCAGAGTGAACTTTACAGACTCAGCATCTACGTGCTGGCTGCCTCCCCTCAGGACCTCCCCTCAGCTTAAGAGGCAGATGAGTACAGATGGAACTTTCCTGGGGTGTGAAGAATGCACGCTCCACACAAAGCAAAATTGTGTGTACATTTGTTTCAGCGAAGAAATCCAATGAACAAATTAAATGGCATTCTGATAACACAAACTACCCTAGCTTTTAAGTGGGGAAAAACAGAACTGAATAATTACCACAAAATCCACAACATATTCAAATTCATATTTCATATGAATAATGTACTAATTAACTCAAATATATGAAACAAATCTCATTTTGCTAATATCATTGAAGATTGTCCTTCTGGTCTCTATACCAATTTAGCAAATCTTGTGACGTTAAAGGGTTAAAAGTCTAAGCTATATACTTAAAATTCAGATTCAACACTGAAGAAGACAAAACCTCACTTCTGTCAACACACACCTGCCAAGGGCTAAGAGTAAACATGGTTTTCAACTTTTTCCTTAAGAAACAAAATCTCCCTAGTAGTATGGTTGTTCTCGAACCAAAAGTTTCAGTTAAAAGTTGCTTATTTCGTATGTTTATGTGAGCACAGTAACATAAAATCTAAAAAGATTCCAGACATGACAGTACTTGTGTCATCTCCAGATTTGGGCAATTCTTAAGATTTGAATTCAAATTTTTATACACCAGCACAGAATTTCAATTCACAAATCTTTGGAATAATTATAATGAATCCTGAAGAAACTGTTCAAGGGTGATTGTGACTATGCAGCTCTTCCAGCTGGGTCAGCTGGAGGGACGAGAAGAAGGGGGAAGAGATGGTACAGAGAGGCGCGACTGCCCAGCACTCAGATCAGACTGCAGGCTGGCAGCAACAGGCCAAGCCAACAGAGGGAGGAGACATGCTTGACAGGAGTAGGGAATCAGCAGATAAGTAGGAGGAGAAAGCATATGAGATGTAGGCTGGGTTGCAGCAGTTGCTGTGCTGTGAAGATGAATAGCCGAAATCAAAATCAAAACAACCCAGACCCAGTGAAGCACAGAGAAGCCCAGGACAGCACGCCACAGGCCAGCACCTCCACAGGCCAGAGAGGAGACAGTTTGAGTCTACAGACGGAAAGTCATTAAATAATACTCAAAATTTGGTCTCAGCATAATATTGTCTTAGAAATTAAAATGTAAACAAGTATTTAGACGTCCCAGACTTGTTTTGTTTCTTGTGGTTTTTTTTTGTGGTTTTAATAAATAGGAAGGGAAGACAAAAAGAATCAAATATATTTTTTTAGATACTTGAGGAATAGTGCACGACAAAGTCTAAAATGGAAAGGACAACAAGGCTAACAGAATGGAAGGCAGGTGAAATGATGGGAAGTAAGGTTTTAGCAATTTGTCCATTACTAAAGTGTTTGAGAAGTCACATTAGAAAAACAGCAAAGTAGCTACAATGAAGCAAAAGATCTTAGGAGAATCAGATCAAATGAACCCCTCTGAGGAGTGTTCGTTGGTCTTCTAGATGACCTGCACGGCGCCCACATTGCCAGGTTAACAACTATCCTTCCAGGGAATCCCAGGCCACCCCATCTTCTGGCTTTCACAGATACCTGCATACACATTGCACGCTCTGTCTGTAAACATACATACCCATAAGTAAATAAAATCTTTTACAATTACTTATGTACTCGTTGCATCCACTTTTAACTCCACTCCTTGCTATATCTTTTTTGAATGCCTAATGCATATCCACCTTACACAGTGCAAAACTTGACATTTTAGCAGTGACCACTAGGGGGAGGGAAACACCAGTAGTGTTCGTTAGCAACGGTTAACCAAAGGGTCGGGTATTTACCTAGATCATCCACCAGATGTCAACCGAGAGAAGAAAGTTGACTTCCCCCCCCCCTAAACACACAAATGCGTAATTTTATGCACGACAAGCTAAACCCTTCAGATAAATGGCTTGCCTACTAATTATTCCTGACATGGTTACATTCTATCTATTTTTAGTTCTAGATGCCTTCTCAACTAAAATCCAAGTCAATAAAAATGTAGGGTTTTTTTTTCTTAAATAAAGAAAGCAACAAGACAAATGTGTTTAGTTTGTTGTGTTTCAACCTATCCATAATTAGTATGCAGAAGAATCTAAAGTGTTTAGCTGTGGACAAACTCCCCACTCCCACTTTTTGGTTATGCACACTACAGATTTTTTATTTTGCATAGTCCTGTTCTAAGAAGTTCTGTTGGTGGTTAATAATCTCATCCATGCCATCACCCTCTGCATGTTGAAGTTTAGAACTCGGCGCCTGTTTTAATCAGAGCATTCACAGACGCACGTACCTGTCTTAGAGATGGAGGACTCGGATTAGCATGGTGAATTAAATTAAGCCTCACTTATGTAACAAATCATACTTAAAAACCAAAACCACCGTATATGCTTCCTAAGCTAAGTCTCAGTCTTTTGTAAACAATGTCAGCTAAATCACTATGTTCGAACTGACTCTTATGAGGTGGTAATTTGGGGTGTGAACTCTATTCTTACTCCCTGCAAATAGAGCAGTAGGTGGCATCTTGAAAAAGGACTTTTTCTCCCTCCGAGGACGTGGTCAGGCCTACACACACACCCAGACAACTTGGTTGCCTTTGACGCTGTGGGAGTCTGGGAAGGCCCCTGAAGACGAGGGCTTCTCCTCGGGCCCTGCCTTAGTCCCTAGCCTCCCAGCCTACAAAGGCTTTTGTTGTTTCTATCCAAGTCAACAATGCTTTCTTCTGTGAACAATATTTGTCTGCTTTTTATTACGTTTCCTTTTGAAATTCATCAGCTTTGACTCGGCCACCAGCCGCTTGCCCAACCGGTTTCTCCCCTTCCCCCAAGGCTCGCACATCCTCCTCCCGGGCCGCGGCCCCGGTGCAAACTCTCCCGGCCAGGCGCTGCCGGCCCGTGCACCCGGCTCGCGGAGCGCGCGCAGGCCAGGGGGTGGCGGTCTGCTCGCCTGCCAATCGCCGCCGCCCGTGCACAGAAGCCGGCAGCGCCGGCCCCACACCTACTGTACCCGGCGGGAGCGCGCGGCGGGCGGGGCGCGCGCAACGCGCGGGAGGGAGCGCGCAGGGAGGCTGGCCGCCAGCCGCGGCGTGCGCCTGCGCACTGGGGTTGTTTTTCACAAAGCTGCTCTTAAAGTGAGCTGGCAGCCTCCAGCCGCCCGTCTTTGTAAGGAGACCACTGAGACGAGCAGGAAGGAGCGTGGAGCAGCAGCTTCCCTGCTGCCCTGACTTTTTAAGAAATCTGAATGAACTATTTGTAGACAATCACTGATCCTGCCTGCAAGATTTTTTTTCTTTGCACGGCAAAGACACTGATCAGTGTTAAGTGAAGATCACATCTTATATGCGATCTTGACTTTTTTTTCGTCTTACATTATATTTTTATAGATTTTGTTATAATCATGGTGCTGGGAAAGGTGAAGAGTTTGACAATAAGCTTTGACTGTCTTAATGACAGCAATGTCCCCGTGTATTCTAGCGGGGACACTGTCTCAGGAAGGGTGAATTTAGAAGTTACTGGGGAAATCAGAGTAAAATCTCTTAAAATTCATGCAAGAGGACATGCGAAAGTACGCTGGACTGAATCTAGAAACGCCGGCTCCAATACTGCCTATACCCAGAATTACACTGAAGAAGTAGAGTATTTCAACCATAAAGACATCCTAATTGGGCACGAAAGAGGTAAGTTTTTGTGTTAGTCACTAGAGTCGTCTTCTTTGCATGAGAACTTGAATCTCATTTAATGCAGTTCTAGTCGGCAGCCTGATAAAAGGTTAGCAAACTTAGAAGATGTAGTTTCTCCTTGACGTTCAAGCGTGTTAAACGGTAATGCGTGCAGGCGTCTGCAAAGTGACTGCAAACTGCGCTTAACTACATCTGTAACCGGCTTCAGATCTGCCATACACACTTGGGATCCTTTCGCACCTTATAAAGTGTATTTAAATCTGACTAGGTCATTTTACTAATATTCTCAAATTTATTTGCAAAAGCTGCAGTCCAATATTGGATTTCCCCCTTTATTTTACAATCTTAGATCCAAAAATAAGCTCCAATAAAGAACAGTAGTGACATTTTCAGAAGGTTGCTAGATGTGTCTGATTTTAATATCCACATGCAAAAGTCTTTAAAGACTTGATTATTGTTCTTTGATAAAGGGCTTCCATGGCATATTTTGACATATGGCATCAACACCCCACGTGTTTTTTCCCTATTTCTCCCAATTCCTTTTAAAATGTACATCAAGCATCATTTATTTTTAAGGGGTAATATCTATCATTATGCAAACTATTTAGTCAATTTAAAAAGCATTCGGGGTCAGCAGTTTCCTTCTCGAGCATCATGTCTTAACTTTGGAACGAGGATTCAATGAAACCCAAGGCAGACAGATGGAATTGTAAAGTATATGGTACATAGGATTTGGTTTTTTGGTACTAGACGAAGATAAAGGCTTTGTTAAAGCGATGAGGGGTCCTGAAATTCGCAATCTGCTGTTTAAGTGTGGAAATATAGGCGACTCCAAGCTTGTTTTCTAAGTTTCCACCCTTTGTTAGAAGCGGTTCAATCCTGTTTCGGACCAGTTCTGGGGGATGGTGAGGAGGGGCTCTCAGCAGATTGGTTACACGCGTCAGGTGGTGGCGATGACTTAATTCCTAGTCCAAGAAGAATATAATGTTAAAACTGATTATGTAATTTGTGTTTCTCCTTTCTAATGCAGTATTTTTATTGCAAATACTGGCGATTTCTCAGATAGAGGCATGCTTTCATTTAAAAAAATATCTAAAACGTACATCCTGGGGAGATTAATTGAACTAAGGCACGTAAGAAATTGAGGATGCTTTAAGCCACACAGAATTAACGTATCCTTTATTTTTTTAAATGTGAAGGTGAAATCATTTCTTAGGATTTAGCAGCTATACCGATGCATTCTGCAACCTGAAATGGTTCCCTAGCTAACCTTCCCCAGCGTGCACACGGATAGGGCATACAATACCTAATGATAGTGCTGGTTTTTAAAAAAGGCAGCAGACACATGGATTTGCGTTTGAACCTGCTTTGGACGTTGCAGCCTTTAATGAAGTGGGTGAGAAGAGACAAAGGCTTTTCCCTCGAGGAGTTAAGAGACGCGTGGTAGGGGGAAGTAGGACGAGCTTGTGGGGGCAGGCGGCGGCACCCATCGCACCACGGTTCCCCCGTTTGGGGAACTACCTGCGCCCTGCGAGGTGCCCGCGAGCCGGGCTGCGCGTGGACGAGCTCCCGGGGCCGGAGGAGTTTCAATGACTTCCAACCGGGAGCTCTCGAACCAGCCTGGCAGCCGAGCGCCCGCCCCCGGGGCGCGCGGCGATAGGCGGAGCCGCGTTTGTTAGCCTGTTGCTAGGGCGATGCCGGGCCCTGATTGGCCCGGGGCCCGCACGGGTGGGGCGAGCCGGCTCGCGCCGGTTGGGGCGAGGCTGCCTTGGAACCGGCGTGCGCCGGCGAAGGTTCCCCCAGGCCGGCCGGGCGCCCAGCCCCCTCCCACCTCGGGCCGCCGCAGGTGCGGGTGCCCTGGCCGCGGCTTCGCTTGAATGCCGCCCCGGGGAGGGAGCCGGGGGTCCGGGCGCCAGGGCCGCCCCGGGCCGGTACCTGGGAGCCGAGGGGACGCGGCGGTGTGGCCGCACGGGCGTGGGGGGAGGAGAGCGCCGCCATCTGCCCGGCCTCGCCCATTGTCCCCCGGGGCGTCGCTTCCCCGCCGCCCCAGCTCCCCCCCTCGCGCTCACGGCGAGAGGTGTCAGGGTGGCCCGAGCCAGATCGAACCGGTCCCCGGCTGGGGCGTGGAGAGCGGAAGCGCGGAGCGCCGCGGCCCCGCCCCCGGGCCCAGCAGGCTAGGCTGCGCGCGCGACGTATGCCGTATGTATAGCGGGGGGCGCGCACGGACGGGCGGGGGCGCGCGCGGGCGAGCCGGCTGGGATCTGCTCAGCGCCGGTTTAGGCCGGTCCTCTCCTGCTCCGGTCTAGTTCTTGATTGACAGCCAGGCACTTGTTTACCACGGCGCCGCGGCCGCGGCTCGCCTCAATGAGACTGCTGAGCTGGCACAAAAGGGAACCTGGGAGGGAGGCAAAGTTTGGGCGCCTTGGAGGGGGCGGACGGAGGAGCCCCGGCTCCGGGGCTGACCCAGTCGGGAGGGGGCTCCTCAGGAGACTCGGGAAGCAGGGTCAGACGTGGGCGCGTCTCCATGATTGGGGGATGGAAGTCATGGTTTTCTGTGTATTTTCAGTGAAGAAAAGTATAGAGTGCCTAAGTCCTTACACCACCACCACCCCCAGCTAACTAAAAAGGGTTGCACATCGTGAGAAGTAACACGGTGTATTACCTAGACCGCCAGAGGAACGCTAAACCTTTTTCCACCTTTTTTTTTTGTTAGCTTATTTTCGTGACACAATGCGTTCGAGCAAAAAGAATTGGTTGTAAAGTGAAATGTCATTGCATACACACACACATCCCTCAAAAGTGGAAAATACCCAGTTAGACTTAATTTTTTTAAGTGCTGAACAACATGTTTCTTCGTAAAAAGGCATCTTTTATGTTCAGTCCTTTTTTAATTAAAGTAAACTTAAAAGCCTGATGTCAGCTGCTGCTTAAAACCAGCTGAGTTTTGAATATTGTCTAAGTGAATATTTTTAGCTTGGAGATGTTACTGTCACCCCTCCTCCCCTCTGACTGGCCTTGAATCCCTGTAGTGGTCCTCTGCTTCCTGGGTGAAATTGTCAATATTCACCTAAAACTGACTATTAAGGTTATAGTTTTTACTTATTGCACACTTAGAATAAGCGATTGGTGACCAGGATACCTGAACCTTTTGTTAAATACTGTATTTGATAGTTTTTTTCTCTTTGTATCTTTTTTCATTAAAATAAAACAGCCTGTAAGTGTTCATCATCCCTATTTTGGCCGTGAGGAAGGTGAAGAACGAGTTTTTATTTTAGTCAGAACAAATAATGAAGTTGGGGTTAGAACTCTGATCTATAAGATGAAAGCTTTGATCATGAGCAACGTCCTTGAAGATTGCTGCCTGAGAATGTAGGCGTTTAACGACAAGGCTTTTGTTTTCTTTTTGTTTCTTTTAGATGATGATAATTCCGAAGAAGGCTTCAACACTATTCATTCAGGAAGGCATGAATATGCATTTAGCTTTGAGCTTCCACAGACGTAAGTATTTCAAGAAATAGGATTTTTCTTGCACACTCTTAGTTAAGCACTGATCTTATAAAATTAGATACTCCATATTTAAATACTTAGCTGTTTTTTTTTCTTTCTTGAAAAAAACCCTTTTCATTACAGAAACTTGGTCGAAGAAAACAATGTAATTAATAGAAGGATCTATTTTTAATGTGGCAAAATTACAGAGAGCACACTCAGTCAGTTAGTATTCTGCAGTAACGTTTGAAGGATATAAAACATTAATATTTAATCTAGCACTGGTGAATCCTAAGGTGCTAATCAAACAGTCTTCGATCAGATTGCTTACTAGCCTTTCCTTTATAAAAAGAACACTTCACTCCAATCTCAGTAGCTAGCTGGATCAGAATTCAGATTTCCACCTTTTCTGCTAATGTGAATGGTTAATGTTAGAATGTAACCATAAGACTGCCCTAAGTCAAGGAGTCCCGTTCTCTAGACTAAATTCAGTAGCTTCTGTATACAGAGCTACCGCTTCTGGGGGACATTACATAAGATAGCATAACCTGGACTTAAAAGGAAGTGTCTCAGAGCCACCTTAGTGGAAAGCTTGAAATATAGTACGTTCTCAGCATTTTAACAAATTGCTGGGAGAGAATGTAAACATTTTTGCATAATGCCTTTTAGCAGACACTAAAACCTATAGGCTGGCACTGATTGATCTATATAATAAGCTTAGCTCATAATAACAGTTTATCATGCCTTGAATGTGTATAATTCTGTTTACTAATTCTGCTTGGAATTCTGTAAAAACTGGTGCTTCCACCAGTCTAATATGGCCTTCTACGTAGCAGGACTGGCCATCTCTCTAGTGGGGCATACCGCTTGTTAAAACCTTCCACAGACAACAGAACCTCCAACCTGCCCAAGTCTAGACATGGTTCTGATTATCCTGACCTAGGTTAGTAGGAATATTTTCCTTTTCAAGCCTTGGAAAGTGAAGATGGGAAACAGCCACAGGAGAGTTAGAGTGTGGCTGCCCAGGGTGTGAAAAGCACCTCCCCGTCTCTATGAATTTATGAACTAGGAAATTGTGAGACTATTCTAGGCTTTTCTGTGCTAATTAGTTACTATAAAAAGAGGTTCTAATTCCTAGGTAACAAAAGTAGAGCAGTATAGGGAGGGTTTTGTTGTTGTTGTTGTTGTTGTTGTTGTTTTCTGAATGTTTGATTGGGGTCTAGGATTTTTAGGTAGAAATAGTGAGGCCATTCTTGACTTTAATTTCAAATTAAAATGCTTACCTTTTCAAGAATAGTTCATTTAACTTTGATTTTGCCACCAACATTAAAAGTAGACTCTTTAGTTTAAAGGGGTTGCATTCTTCTGGCATTAAAAGCAAAATTTCTCTTACATTTAACTCTTATCATTATTTGAAAATAAAAGATCTTTCCCCAGTGACCTATCATATCCCCTTTGGAGAGTTTTAAGAGATTATGCACGTGGTACCTCATTGGTCCACAGACAGTATGACATGGTGATGTCTTTATGCACGTGGTACCTCATAGACAGTACAACATGGTAACGTGTTTATTCTGATCAACTATTGAATTTTTGAAAGAGGTATAAGATTAATATCTCTTTTTATATTTTGCACAGACCACTTGCTACCTCATTCGAAGGCCGACACGGTAGTGTGCGCTATTGGGTGAAAGCTGAATTGCATAGGCCTTGGCTTCTACCAGTAAAGTTAAAGAAGGAATTCACAGTCTTTGAGCACATAGATATCAACACTCCTTCATTACTGGTAAGAAGTGCCTGGGTTCTTCTTTGCCTTTTGACATTTGAACACATAAAGAATAGCCACCTAATCTGTGCCGCCTAGTCTATGCAGTCGCCATGGCTTTAGTAAAGCAACTCCATTGAATCCCATTAAAAATGCCTAGTTTAAAACAAGGCAGAGCTGGAGAACACGAGCAAATGAATAACGCGCTCCTGTTCTTCACACGGTGCTGGGTAAATGTAAAAGTCATACACATATGTGATATGAAGTGGCTTTTTTGCAGAACACAGCAGTAACAAGGTCCAGTCCTAAATGACTTTAGTTGACAAACAATATTAATCATTTAGGACACTGGCTTAAATCTCTTACTTGAAACGGTCACAGTCTAAACTATGTACCACATTGCATTATACTAGTTATATCTAGGGGTCACATGATGGGGATTCATCATTTTCATGGGGAATGGGGAAAAAATTCATTTCCTTTTAATTGCATTTTATGATTCTAATTCAAATTTGGCTTCAAAAATTATTTGGTTTAAACAAATGATAACATCTTTAAATTGAATAAAAATGTGTTAAAATGTAAACATTTTACCAAGCAACCTTTTTTTTTCCTTTTTTCAAAATAAGATGTTGCCATTTGGAATTATAACCAAGTTTTTGACAATTTATGTGTAATTTGGAAAGGGTTTTTTTTTAATTTGGTTAGTTTTTATTAATGTACACAATGAACTATAAGTCTGCTTTGGAACAGGGTGTTGGACCTTTAACCTATTTCTTTCCCTTTTATTGAAGTTTATATAAAGACAGAAGTTTGATATATTTTAAAAACCATCTGTTCCGGGAACAAAATGGATTCTCTTAGTTAATTTTACAACAATCCTGGCATTTTTTGTTAGTTCATACGTGGATGTTTTCTCTGTTTCTTGCAGTCACCCCAAGCAGGCACAAAAGACAAGACACTCTGTTGCTGGTTCTGCGCCTCGGGCCCAATATCCTTAAGTGCCAAAATCGAGAGGAAGGGCTACACCCCAGGTATGGGTGCGGGTGGTGCCCACAAAAAGCAGCTTTCTTTATTAAGTATCTTGTATAAATTTAGTGTTGTTACTGGATATAAACCCTCAGCATTCCTTAGTAAAGCTGTGTAGGTTGTACGGACCCATTTTCTTTGCTCAAATTGTAGTCTCCTTTGTGTAGTCAGGGTGAGTGAGCAGGTCATTTTCACGACAGTGAATTAATCAGCCTTGCTTACTTCTAGGATAGCTTTTCCTCCATGGGGTTAGTTGGGCTTCAGAAGTGTGTGCCTACTTGTTTTCTAAGAGTGAATAACCCTTTCTCTCTCCAGGTGAATCAATACAGATATTTGCTGAGATTGAGAACTGCTCTTCCCGAATGGTAGTGCCAAAGGCAGCCATTTACCAAACACAGGCCTTCTATGCCAAAGGGAAAATGAAGGAAGTCAAACAGCTTGTGGCAAACTTACGTGGCGAGTCCCTGTCATCTGGGAAGACAGACACATGGAACGGCAAGCTGCTAAAAATTCCACCAGTTTCCCCCTCCATCCTTGACTGTAGTATAATCCGTGTGGAATATTCACTAATGGTAGGTGTTCCTGTAAGAAGTTCTTACCACTTTTATCTTGAATTTATGGGGTCCTTATTTTTGTCTTATCCATGCTTGGTAGACTGTAGATGTGTGTACAAAACATTACATTGTGATTATATTACCTAGGGCATTGCACATAAAAGAGAAGTTTTCTAGAAACTAAAAGGGACCCCAGCTAATATCAAACTTAGGTTGTGTTTTTAAAGAAAATTCTACTTAAGTGCTGACTCCATCATCTGCTTACTGTGTAGGTATATGTGGATATTCCTGGAGCTATGGACTTGTTTCTTAACTTGCCACTCGTCATCGGCACCATTCCCCTCCATCCATTCGGTAGCAGAACGTCAAGTGTGAGCAGTCAGTGTAGCATGAACATGAACTGGCTGGGTCTGTCCCTCCCTGAAAGACCTGAAGGTAATTTGATAGTACATACCTAACTCACTGCATGATTATTATTAAGACTTTTTCTTTTGTTCTTAATATTTTACAACCCTAGTTAAATTTTTATCTTTCCTCAGTTAGCATATGTGACCTTAATACTGTTTTGTTGTATGTCTCACTTGTTTTAATCACCAAATAATTATTCTTTTACATGGCATTTTTTTAATATCTACTATTCTGTGTATTTTGACATGCATAAGAACATGTTGTTCGAATTGCGTGTATCTTTTTCCTTCAGCACCACCCAGCTATGCAGAAGTAGTAACTGAGGAACAAAGACGAAATAATCTCGCCCCAGGGAATGCTTGCGATGGTTTTGAGAGAGCTCTTCAGGGACCACTGTTTGCATATATCCAGGAGTTCCGGTTCTTGCCTCCGCCTCTCTATTCAGAGGTAAGCACCAAGTCAACTGTGAGACGTGCTGGGTCCTCTAGGAACAGCAGTGCAAGCTTTTAAAAAAGATGCAGGCTTTTTTTTTTTTTTTATACAAGACAGAGTTTCTCTGTATTGTTTTGGAGGCTATCGGTCCAGCCCGGCCTCGAACTCACAGATCCGCCTGCCTCTGCCTCCCGAGTGCTGGGATTAAAGGCGTGCACCACCACCGCCCGGCAAGATGCTTTTAAAAGATAATTGTTTCTCATGTATCCTGATGATAAACATTTAGAACACCAGTTTAAAAGTTAGGATTGTCAGATCTTCTGACTTGACACATAAGTAAGATTTCATACAGGAGATAAGACGACAGTCAAACTCCAGTTGACTCATTAGCATTTTTGAGTAAATGGCTTTATTTTAAAGTATCAGTAGAAAACCTGGTATTTTGTAAGCATAGTTAAATAGGTAGAGTTTATATTGTTCATAATCCTTTTCCAATGTAATTCTTGCATTTTTAACATTCTAAGTTATAGGAGAAAATAGCATATTTCCAAATAGCTTCTTAAGCCGGGTGGTGGTGGCGGCTGCAGTGCATACCTTTAATCTCAGGACTTGGGAGGCAGAGGCAGGAGGATCTCTGTTAGTTCGAGGCCAACCTGGTCTACAGAGTGAGTTCCAGGACAGACAGGGTTACACAGAAAAACCTGTCTCAGAAAAAAGAAAAGAGACAGAGCAAACAGCTTCTTAAACAGCATTGTAAACTGCTGGGTTGCTCTTCATTCACTCCATGCTGACGGCACCAGCACACATGTGAATAGGTGCCTGCATCGGGCAAGCTCACAGACTAATGAGACAAATTAGAAGCCAAAACCAGTGTGAACCGTGTTAGGAAACACCGCTCATCTGATGAACCATTTATTGGGTCTTAGAAATCAGAACGGCTTCTCTGAGAAGCTGAATTTTCAAAAATAGGTAGCGCCTCCAAAGGTAGGATGGTCCAGGTAGGAAGAGCAGCCCAGCTGAACGACAAGAAGGGTCAGGTTCAACAGTTCCAGGATACTTTAACATGACAGTATACATTTTTACAGGGCCTTTCAAATGGCCTTGACACCAAAGTAATTATAAGTCAAGACACTCTAGGTTATATAGTTTACCCCACTATTTTATAGTGAGATTCTGTGCTTTTCTCATAGTCATTACACATGAAAATTTGCTTTTACTTTAAAAGCAGTTGTGACTCCATACTGGAGAAAAACCTGCCCTAGATGTAATCATATAAAATCATCTTCATTAATTATATTTAGACTCTTTTCTTGCACATTTTTGATTAGACATTTTTCCTATCTTACTATGGTTCATAAAAATACATGTTAAATGCTAAACACCATTTCCCACAAATTGTATTACTGTTTATTCTGACATTTCTTACTGTATTCTGGCTTAATTTGGGTGTTCATAGCTTTCAAGGATACATTTGAAAAGAATGATTTTTATCATTCACTTTTATCTAATTTGCCATAAATTCTATATATTTCAAGATGAATATAGATAATTTGAACATTGTACAACCCTAAAATAGCCCCGGAACATGATTTAAGTAAAAGGTAATTGGCTTTTTTCTTCAAAATGCTTTTGGCATAAAGTTTCTCAGGCAATGTAGGTTGTCTCATACTTAACGTGTCCAGAAGATCTTTGAGTCACCTTCACAAGATCCTCAGGAATGTTGTACAGAGCCTAGGGTAGAGATGCAGTGACATTTTAGGACAAGAACAAAAGATACTTCATAATGGAGTTGAGTGGTTTGCTGGTATACCCCAGTGTGTAACTGATTTTAAGTAAGTACCCCGATGTTGAGTGAAAATACCCTTCCACAAAAAAAGATTTTCTTGGTAACTTATTCATGCATAACTAACTATAAATCATATTGGTAATCTAACACCCTTTCATTCACACGTACCATGATCTTCAAATAGAGACCATATTAGGGTATAATGTGCTAACCGTTTACATGTATGCTCTGATGCTCTGATAATATTGGTTACTTTTGCTGACTCAAAAGCAGTCATTTACCAAACTAACTGTACATTTCATCTTGTTTCTACTAGATTGATCCAAACCCTGATCAGTCATCTGAGGACAGACCCTCCTGCCCCTCTCGTTGAAGGAACACTTGATTGAATCAAGTTGATATGGGTTCCGAACTGTGTCTCTTCCGGCTGAGGACCGAGAAGTATCTTGGAGACACGCTTTTCAGAGGAAGTGGAATTGCTGTTGCCCAGAAACAAGCAAATACACGAAACAACCAGTGATCATGCTTTAGAATCCTACAGCAGCTTTCTGGGGCTGCTCCAATATGCTTGAAGATCGAAGCTTTCTCCTTTAACACTGCACATGCTAAGAGCAGTCTTCTTAGCCTGTGTCATACGTGTCAAGACACCATTGCAGAGGAGGACGTGGTCCTTCTGATTTGAAAATTTGCACATGCTCAATGCTTACATTGTGCAGCTCAGTGTCACTACAGCTTTTTTTTTTCCATTTATCCCAGACTCTTGATACTCTTAAAACTTGTTTGTGGTCAGCACGACAAGGAACAAAAAGAAAGCTTTGAAAAACTTTTACATGAAAAAAAAAACGCACTGACAGTTTGTGGTGTTTTTGTTTTTTGTTTGTCTAAGTTAATGTAGCCTGGACTCCACCTGCGTGTGCACATGCTCAGAGTTGTCCTACTAGGCTGACCATGTATCACCTCTTCAGCTTGGATCCTATTGTGGATTTATTTACAAACATCAAATGCCTTCAAGCCAATCGTTTTGCTGTACGTTTTGCAGCCTGCTGTAGTAGGATGTACAACACATCTATAGGGAGCGCCGAGAGGAGGTTGCTAATGAGAGACTGCAGGATCGTGGACCTTGGTTTCTGTGAGACTGTTGCCCTCTACTATTGACAGCAAAGCAGCATTTTGTTACTGACTGCCTAAAATCACTTAATCTCAGGTGAATGCATCACTTGCCAAACTGTCGGAATGCTATTTGTGTTTGTTGCACTGTTATTTTGTCGTTGTTGTTGATGATGATGATGACGTTGATGATGTTTGGTTGGCTTTTTGGAGAGGGAGATTCGGAAACGGGACATACACAAAACTGATAACCCATCCCCTTTTGATCATTACATGTAAGAAGGAACTAGAGCTCAGAGCGCAGTGAAGAAAGACAGTGGGCCAGGCACCAGCAGAGTTAAGGGCTGTTGCTCATGAAAGTTATTTTTATTCTTTTGCAAGTAAATGGAAGCTGTGCAGTCACTTAGGGAAGGGGGAAAGTGCATTTATTTTTATATAGTTACTTAATTACCTCCAAAACACATATGTTTGGAAATCATTGTTGCTGATGCAAAGTACTTTAATAAGCCAGAGTATGTATGTCACTTAGGACTGGGGAAGCTTGATTTATACATTTGGTCAAGTGTAAGAATAAAATCCCAAATTTGTTCCCAACGTGTGTAACTTCATAATTATAAATAATAGACTGTTCACAGGGATAGCTTTAGTTTGTCCGTGTGTGTGTGTGTGTGTTATTTTTTATCTGAAAAGGTCTCTCTCTTCGAGTGTGTATAGACAGAACACATCACTAAATTATTTTTGAAAATAATCTGTGGTTGGATCATAAAAATACCAGCATTCATAGAAAAGTAAAACCCCACCCTCCCAAGTACTCAGTGAGTGGTTTTTTTTAGGAGTTTATTTGTTTTTAGTGACACCAGCATCTCTGATACTGCAACATATGTGTGAAATGGGTGTTAAATCTGTCTACCTTGCCATCTAACCCACAGTTAATAAAGTGACTGAAAATAGTGGTAACTCTGGCTTGGTGCTTGACCTGGTTAAATACTGTCTTAAAGCTTCATACAAAATAGGCTTTTCCATAAGTGGCCTTTAAGAAAACATGGAAGACAATTCATGTTTGAAATAATGCTGACAGGGTGAAGAGAGCCCACTGGAAAAATGAATCGCGTTTTAAGTGATTCGGTTAAAGGGTTTGTGCTCCCGTAGCAAACTAATACTAGATAATGAGGAAATGGGGTGAATTATTTTTCTATTGTTAAATCATTTTGTGAATGTCCCCCTCGGAAGAGGCTGATGGAATATCTGGCATAAAGGGCATTTGGTGGTTTTGTTTTCATTTGGGAGGGATTGTCTGCAAACACCTCACTCTTCCTGTTACGTCTAACTAGGGAACAATTGATGTGCATGGCGTCAGACACTCACAACCATATTCTTTTACAAAATACTACATAAGCAAGAATGACCAATATGAAGATTGGCACTGGGTGACAAAATGCTTGTAAGACTTGGGTGGAATAAAGTTTATTTTTACCATTAAATATTTCTTTACTGATTTAGAGGCATTACATTTTTCTAAATATTGGTCAATTCCTGATATAACGTGAGGGTCACAGTTGCGCCCTAGTATTCAAGATAGCTTCCTAATTTTTCATTTAGGAAAAGTAAAATCCAAAATGTTCGCGAAACAAAGTGCAATATTAAATGTTTGCTTTATAGATTATACTCTATGGCTGTTCGTAATCTCTCTTTTTTATTTGGTGCTGAATATGTCCTTGTAGGCTCTGTTTTAAGAAAACTATGTGGAAAATGATTTAATTTTTCCTATTGCTCTTCCTTGTGGAAAATAAAAGTGTTTTTTTTTTCTTTTTTTGTATAATTGTTTGGCAATTTATTTGGAATTTGGCTATATTAGTGATGCGTCAGTCAAACACTACTAACATTACAGTTGAACTCTTACATCATTCTGAATGCTTTGTTTCTAAATTTGTACTAATGGAAATTACTGAGGATTTAAAAGATGTGAATTTAAATCTTAAATAATGAACCAAATGTAATCAGGTAATTTTGCATTTAGATACAGGCTTCCCCTGCCCCCACCATGATGCGCCCTAGTCCTAATGTTAAAAGAGCACATTAGACATTATGTTGAAAACCACTGAACAGTTTTTCCAATTTTTTTTGTTTGTTTGTTTTGTTTTTCGAGACAGGGTTTCTCTGTATTCTTTTGGAGGCTGTCCTGGAATTCTGTAGACCAGGCTGGCCTCAAACTCACAGAGATCCGCCTGCCTCTGCCTCCCGAGTGCTGGGATTAAAGGCGTGCGCCACCAATGCCCGGCAGTTTTTCCAATTTTTAAAAGCAGTAGTAGTCTTAAAAATAGGTGTGACCATTACATTGTCAACCTTCAAAACCCTTTTGGAGTCAAGTTTGATTTTTCTTCTTCATTGTTTGCATATATACCTAAGGATTCCTTATCTCTGTCATTTTCACCCCAGTGGAAGACAGATCGTTACATAATATGATTACGAATGAAAGGAATCAGTCATAGGAGAAATAGGTTTCTCAGTTCTGTGACTGGACCAGGCATGGAAAAAGATGCTCAAATTGATTTTCTCTTCTGGAAACAAAGGTTACGTAACACAAGATTCTCTTAAATGTGTGGATTTGTCCATTTTTTTTTAAAGGAAGTAACACTATACTCTATACCACCTATGATGGTGCCAGTTCCCAGCACTCCTGTGAAATAGGCATTGGAGTATGTAGACACAATAGCATCAAGAGGTTTCTTTTTTGTTTTTCGAGACAGGGTTTCTCTGTGGCTTTGGAGGCTGTCCTGGAACTCGCTTGGTAGTCCAGGCTGGTCTCGAACTCACAGAGATCCGCCTGCCTCTGCCTCCCGAGTCCTGGGATTAAAGGCGTGTGCCACCAATGCCCGGCCATCAAGAGGTTCCTTAACTGAGCTTTTTGAATGCTAACCTTGCTATATCAGTGTTGTATGAAAAGTGGCACACAAAAGAGTTGTGACAGGGTTCAAGTAGAGGGGAGAAGGGAAGGGAAGGGAGGAGACTGGCCACAAGGGCCAGGAGCAGCAGCAGAGAAGGGAGGAGAGGGGGAGAGAGGGAAACAGGCAGGGAGAGAAGGATGAGAGGTGAGCAGCGCTCTTTTAGAAGGGAACATAGTCAATATGCACAGGTGGTGCCCTAGTGGCTGCCGCTGAAGAAGGTGTATCCTGTCAGGACCCCAAGGGTAGGCCAGTACAGGTGCCTGAATACTAACAATCAGGATATTTGATTTATGGGCAAGAAACTCAGATTAGCTTCAGTAAAACAGTGTATTCACTAGTAATTCTAGGAATTATCTATAATACCACCAACTAACTCAGAAACTAAGAAAACCCCCAACTAAATGCTTTCTTTTACAAGAGCTCCCCTGGTCATGGTGTCTCTTCATATCAATAGAACAGTGACTGAGATACTAGGTGATATTTTTGAGGTAGAATTTTGTAACCTCTGAGATTACACTTTTGGAGTTCAGTGTCAATGGCATGCATTTCCAGAAAGGCTTGACTGTGGTGAGATACTTGTCTTTTCATTCTTTGATTTCATACTACAAAGAGTAGACATGCTTCAACTCAGAAAACATTGTATTGGTAACAAGAAAATGATGAGTTGGGGTTGGGAGATGGGTCAGAGGGCAGTGTTCTGATATGGAAGACATTTCAGATCCCAGCACCCACATTTAAAAAAAAAAAGCTAGATATGATGGTTTGTGAGGACAGGAAGCTGAGGCAGGAGGATGACTGTGTGAGGGCAGGAAGCTGAGGCAGGGGGATGACTGAGGGCAGGAAGCTGTTCAGGCCTAGTGCTCAACAGAGGCAGGCAAGTCAATGTAAATTCAAATTCAGCATGTTCCATGCAGCCAACCCCATCTCTAAGTAAAAATGTTGAGCACTGCTGCACACCTACAATCCCAGTGCTGAGAGGCAAAGTCGGGGATCCCAGGGCCTTTCCCAGTTGACGAGTCTAGATAAATCAGCAAGCTTCAGGTTCAGTGAGAAACCCTGTGTCCAAAAATGAGGTACAAGTTGTGGATGTGGACCTTTGGCTTCCTGAGACATGCCCACACAAGCATGAACTCATATATGCACATGTGTAGTGTGTGTTTTTATAATTATGTGTGCATATATGAACGCAGTGGATGGAGATCACAAGAGCACACCAGGTGGCCTGGAGCTGGAGTTCCAGGTGGTTGTAAACCTCCATGCGGGTGCTAGGAACAGACTCCGCTTATCTGTCACAGCAGAAGTGCTCTTAACCACCGAGCCGCCTCTCCAGCACCCCACTCTGCCACACATACAACCTTTAGAAAGCGAGCTTACTTTGATTTTTGAAGAATGTTACGTGCAGTATTCTTGCCAAAGGGGAAGAGAAACGGGTGTGCCGTGAAGAAGTGAATACGCAGACTGTTACGGCAGAGATCTGAATGTCCCCATGGCTGCTATGTGTGGACGTCGACTTAACAACAGGAAAAGTACGGCTGTGGGGAAGTAAGAAACCAGCTGTGATTTGGGGTACATCTTGTCCCTGGGACCTCCACGTGGTTTCCTATCTGTCCTGTCCTCGATGAGAAAGAGACTTTCTTTCCTGTTGTTTTTCCCTTGCTGCCAACACTCTGAAACCATGAACCAAAGTAAGTCCTTTAGCTTGTTTACATAAGCTATGTTGGTCACAGCAATAATAAAGCCAGCAATCCAAACAGTTTCTCGTTTTATATGTCAAAAGCATATGTGTGCACATGTTATTGGCCTAATGTAATGCAAAAAAAACTGAAATTGGGGGAATTGGAATGTAGCTCAGTGGTCAGAATACTTGACTAGTACACGTGAAGCCCTAAATCCCCAAACACCACATAAAAGCAGACACAGTGGCACACACAGTGTAATCTTGGCACTCGGAGATGGATGGCACATCTTTTTGAGGATTCAATTTGCCTCATCATCACTCCCTTCTCCCCTTGGTAACAATAGTATGCAGTTACATATGGAAAATCCAGCTATAATAAGTGCACCTTACAGACAAATGCAATCCTGAACTGTGACATCAGAAGTTTAAAGGAAGCTTGTACACACACACACACATACACACATACACATACATACACACATTCACACACACAACACACACATACACATGTACACACATACACATATACACACACACATATACACACATACACACATGCACATACATACATATACACACATACACACATACACATACATACACACATTCACACACATATACACACACACACACATACACACACATACACATGTACACACATACACATATACACACATACACACACATATACACACATATACACACATGCACATACATACACACACACATACACACACATACACATACAAATACACACAAATACACATACATATACACACACGCATACATATACACACACACACACAAACCTTTTTAGACTGGCCTGATTCAGGCACTGAGGTAGAGTTCTTTGTAGACTCACTTCCTGTTTTTGCATTTATCTTAAAAAAGGACTTTGGTAACACTCCCATCATCATCGTTTTACTTGCAGTGCCTACTCAGCTAAAAATGTCAGAGCCTTGTTTGTCACCTGTAATCCTGAAAATTCATATTGTTGCAAGATATACAAATGCTTAAATACTGCAGCTTAAAATTCGCACAAATTAATTTCACTCTAGGAAATAGCTTGAGCTTGGATTAGGCCACTATCTTATTTCAAATAGTAGAATGCTGGCATGTTCTTTTAAAACTAGCCACAATCTTTTCTAGTAAAGGCCCTGTTTGGGGAAGTACATGTTGCCATGAATTAGCAACCTCCATCCAAGTCGCCCTCTGCACAGCTAATCACAAGGAGCACAGCAGTGACTTCCTGAATGTCATTCTTATCACTAAAAGTGAACGTTTCACAAAGCTTCTAAATTGTCTCCCAGTTACATACACCCTTTTGGGGACATGAAAAATAGAAAGACCCAGAGACTGATAAGTAAAACAGCCAAACCAGTAGATCTTGTCTCTACCAAGCTGAAATTGCAATCCTGTCTCCATGAATCCTCAGAGGCAAAGCTCTCAGTTCCTGTCTCTTCCTCCTTGTAGTCCTTTCTCCACCCAGCCATATCACTCCGGTCTCCACCTCCCCAGTGCTGGGATTAAAGGCACGAGCTCTGTTACTCTTCACTCTTGTGTAGGCCAGGGTGGCTTTGAACCCAGAGAGATCCATCTGCCTGTCTCCTGAGTCCTGGGATTAAAGGTGTGGGCCACCACTGCCTGACCACTATAGTTTGTGGCTGGCTTTGCTTTCTGAATCCTCGGGAAAGCTTTAATAAATCATAAATAATATATCAGCATACCTTTGCAACAAGGATGACAGTCAGGAGAGCCCCTTCCCTCACATTTGTCACAAAAGGGATTTGTAGCTAGTTTGGTTATTATACATAACAAACCTTGCTTAAGATAACAGAATGCCCAAATGCCCAACTTTGTCATAAATATGTTTATCTGGCAGTAGCAGTTCAAGTATGTAGCCCTAAAGCTAAGAAAAAAACAAAAACAAGAAACCAACCAACTCCAGTGACTTCTAATGAAATTTACAACATTTCAAATAATTGACTGACCTGACTTGGTGACACACACCTTTGATTCTAGTACTCATGAGGCAAAGGAAGACATCTCTATGAGTTTGAGGCCAGCTTGTGCTACATAGTGATTCTAAAACAACCAGGGAGAGTTTGATTCAAACAAACAAACCAACAAACAAGATCTTGAATATTCCTAACACAAATAAATGGTCACAACCCAGGTAATAGACATACAAAT